GTCTCTACTAAAAATAGAAAAATTAGCCAGGCATTGTGGTGGATGCCTTTAGTCCCAGGTACTCAGGAGGCTGAGGCAGGTGGATCGCTTGAAGCTAGGAATTTGAGGTTGCTGTGAGCTAGACTAAAGCCATGGTACTCTAGCCTGGGCAACGAAGTAAGGCTCTATCTAAAAAATAAATAAATAAATAAAATAAAAGTTACTTTTCCAGCCTTAAAAAGTTAATGTAGAGGGGCGGTGCCTGTGGCTCAGTGGGTAGGGCGCTGGCCCCATATACCGAGGATGGCAGGTTCAAACCTGACCCAGGCCAACATGCAACAAAAAAATAGCTGAGTGTTGTGGCGCGCACCTGTAGTCCCAGCTACTTGGGAGCCTGAGGCAAGAGAATCGCCTAAGCCCAGGAGTTGGAGGTTGCTGTGAGCTGTGTGATGCCACGGCACTCTACTGAGGGTGATAAAGTAAGACTCCGTCCCTACAAAAAAAAAAAAAAAAAATTTATGTAGGCTGTTATGTTGAATAGAGAAGACAAAGGTAAAGTCAAGGAGGTTAATTAGGAACATACTCTGCTGAAAAATGGTGGTTTCCTAAGCTAGGGTGTAAGGCTGGGTATGGTAGCTCATGCCTATAATCCTAGCACTCTGGGAGGCCGAGGTGGGTGGATTGCCTGAGCTCACAAGTTTGAGACCAGCCTGAGCCAGAGTGAGCCCTCATCTCTAAAAAAAATAGCCAGGCGTTGTGGTAGGTCCCAGCTACTCAGGAGGCTGAGGTAAGGAATTGCTTAAGCCCAAGAGTTTGAGGTTACTGTGAGTTATGATGCTGTGGCACTGTACCAAGGGCAATAAAGTGAGACTGTCTCAAAAAAATAAAAAAATAAGGCTCGGTGCCTGTGGCTCAAGTGGCTAAGGCACCAGCCACATACACCTAAGGTGGCGGGTTCAAATCCAGCCCGGGCCCTCCAAACAACGATGGCTGCAACCAAAAAATAGCTGGGTGTAGTGGCTGGCGCCCGTGGCCCCACCTACTTGGGAGGCTGAGGCAGGAGACTTGCTTGAGCCCAGGAGTTGGAGGTTGCTGTGAGCTGTGATGCTATGGCACTCTACCCAGGGGGATAGCTTGAGGCTCTGTCTCAAAAAAAAAAAAAAAAAGAAGAAAATAAAATAAACTAGGATGTAAAGTAGAGAAATAATCCACTTCTGGGTACTTCTTATTTTTTTTTATTGCTTTATTGCCCTCAGTAAAATGCCATGACCTTATAACTCACAGCAACCTCAAACTCTTGGGCACAAGTGATCCTCTTGGCTCAGAGACTGGTCTCGAACTCCTTAGCTCAAGCAATCCACCCGCTTTAGCCTCCCAAAGGGCTAGGATTATAGGCATGAGCCACCACTCCTGGCCTCATTTCTGGATACATTTCTATAGTAAAATGGTTGTTCTTTTTCTTTCTTTTTGAGATAGAGTCTCACTTTGTCACCCTTGGTAGGGTGCTGTGGCGTCATAGCTCACAGCAACCTCAAACTTTTGGGCTCAAGTGATTCTCTTGTCTCAGCCTCCTGAGTCATTGGGAGTACAGGTGCCTGCCACATGCCTGGCTCTGGCTCAGGCTGGTCTCGAACTGGTGACCTCAGGCAATATACCGGTTTTGGCCTCCCAGGCGTGAGCTGAAGAGCTGGGACTACAGGCATCCACCACAATGCTTGGCTAATTTTTCTATTTTCTTCTATAGGCATGAACCACTGTACCAGGCCAAAATGGTTGTTCTTAACAGAGATGAGTTAAGGCAGTTTAAATGTTTTTAGCATGAGTAACTAATATGGAGCTGCCTTAATGGAAAAGACATTTGTACAGGAAGATGGGGAGTTAGTTTCAAACATACTGATGTATTACGATGTCTACTAGATATTAAGCAGCCATGCGAGGAAAACACTTGAATCGGTATGTATTACTGTTTGTTCCTACAGCTCACTGATCAGGCATGGCTCCCAGCTGGGGTTCAAGTACCCCTCCATCAAGTACCCTATACTGTGAAGGGCTGTTTCCGCTTCCTGCCTCCAGCCCAGGTCACTGTTGTGGGAAGCTACCTTTTGGGCACCTGCATCCAGCCAGACATCAATGTGGATGTGGCATTGACTATGCCCAGGGTAAGGTCCAGGGATGGGAGGGTAGAGAGGCCCACTACTTAACCATCTACAAGTCTCTGGATCCCTTTCTTTCTTACCTGCCACTTGCCAGCAGTTTGAAATATGTGTTCTAAATCAAAATATCAAAAGACCACTGTAGTCATCTTGAGGGGAGCTTATACAGGCCCTTGGGCCAATTGCTGTCCTTCTGGAACTTTGCTTCTTTTTTTTTGCAGTTTTTTGACCAGGGCTGGGTTTGAACCCTCCACCCTTGGCATATGGGGCCAGCGCCCTACTCCTTGAGCCACAGGCACTGCCTGGAACTTTGATTCTTATCTAAGAATTGAGTATGCTGTTGCAAGCCCTGGCTCAGGAACTTGTCCCACAGATACCATGCAACTCTTTTTTTTTTTTTATTTTTTATTTTGAGACGGAGCCTCAAGCTGTACCCCTGGGTAGAGTGCCGTGGCATTACAGCTCACAGCAACCTCCAACTCCTGGGCTCAAGCGAGTCTCCTGCCTCCGCCTCCCAAGTAGCTGGGACCACAGGCGCCCGCCACAGCGCCTGGCTATTTTTTGGTTGCAGCCGTCATTGTTGTTTGGCGGGTCTGGGCTGGGGATTCGAACCCGCCACCTTAGGTGTACGTGGCTGGCGCCTTAGCCGGTTGAGCTATAGGCGCCAAGCCTACCATGCAACTCTTTACCCTGGCTTCATCTTGGCCCACAAGTTCTATGTTTAAGCTCTTAAGTGCCTTGTCATCTCTCTTCATCCCTGTTTTCTCCAGGAAATCCTACAGGACAAGGATGGGCTGAACCAGCGCTACTTCCGCAAACGTGCCCTCTACCTGGCCCACTTGGCTCACCACCTGGCCCATGATCCCCTCTTTGGCAGTGTTCGCTTCTCCTACTCCAATGGCTGCCACCTGAAACCCTTGCTATTGCTGAGGCCAAATGGTGGGAGGCACATACTGAGCTGAGGATACATACTGTGGGGTGACAGATCTGAAGGGAGTTCACAGGGGCTTCAAGTATAGGGCAGTAGGGGCAAAGGGCTAAAGTACAAAGTGAGAGTCATAGGCCTCTAGTTTGAGAGGAAAGGTGTAGAAACCTCAAATTTTGAAGTGAGAAGGGATGGTTGGGCCCTCAAGTATGAGGAAGGTGGTGTGGGGGCCCGTGGCTCTAAGACCTGCAGATGTCAGCACCTCCTGTGTCCACTAGGGAAGGACAAGAGCCTGGTCACTGTACGTCTGCATCCCTGCCCTCCACCTGACTTTTTCCGCCCATGCCGCTTACTGCCAACCAAGAACAATGTGCGCTCTGCATGGTACCGAGGGCAAAGTCCTCCAGGAGACGGTGAGCAGGCACTGATGTCAAGGTGAAGCTGAAGAGGTATTATGGAAACTTCTCTATGGCTTCCCTTTTCCTCTCACAGGTAGCCTGGAACCCCCTACCCCCCACTACAACACATGGGTCCTGCAGGATACAGCTCTAGAATCCCATTTGCAGTTCCTGTCAACCATTCTGAGTTCAGCCCCAGGGCTGAAGGATGGTGTAGCACTTCTGAAGGTCTGGTTGCGGCAGCGGGAGCTGGATAAGGTGAGTTGGGGGTAGCCTAGCTTCCCTGCCTTATTAAGTGGGCTGGCTCTGAGCTCAGGCCTCTCCCTTTATCTCTTTCAGGGTCTCGGCGGGTTTACTGGGTTCCTTATTTCCATGCTGATTGCCTTCCTTGTGTCCACACGCAAAATCCACACTACCATGAGCGGCTACCAGGTCCTGAGGAGTGTCTTGCAGTTTCTGGGTGAGGCAATTAGATGGGGAGAGGCCAGGAGTTGCACTCAACCCAGGAATCCTCTTATCCCATCATGGATTCTTGCTGTTAAAGTCTAAGAGCAGGTGGTTCTCAACCTTCCTAATGCTGCGGCCCTTTAACATGGTTCCTGTAGGTCACAACCCACAGGTTGAAAACCACTGTGTTAGGCAGATGAGCAAACTGAATCCCAAAGGCAGGCGGTTGCAGCCACTGAGGCTGAAGGAGGGTGTTGTTAGAGTTAGGTCCATAGAGAGGCGGGATACCTTTTAACACATTCCTCTGCTTTACTCAGCCACCACAGATCTGACAGTCAACGGGATCAGTTTATGTCTCAGCTCAGATCCCTCCTTGGTGAGTTGGGGAAAGGCCTAGTCTTTTGCTAGGGAGCCTTATGGTAAGACTGCAACCCTGACTGGCTTCTCTCTGCACCCTCAAGCCAGCCCTGGCTGACTTTCACCAGGCCTTCCCTGTTGTCTTCTTGGACTCCTCAGGCCATCTCAATCTCTGTGCTGATGTCACTGCCTCCACTTACCACCAGGTACCCGTGGGCCTCTATTCCTGGGTTCTCTTGATGTCCCAGCCTAGACTCTGTCCCTTCAGCAAATAACAGAACTACAGAACCTCCTGTCCAAAGAGCTAAGGTCAGGAGCTCCTCACCTGGTCTGAGCCCTCAGGTCAATAAAAGATACTGGGGTGGCAACTTCTTACCCTGCGGCTCTAGGTGCAGCATGAGGCACAGCTATCTATGGCGTTGCTGGATAGCAAAGCTGACGATGGGTTCCAGCTGCTGTTGATGACTCCCAAACCCATGATCCGGGCTTTTGACCATGTCTTTCAGTGAGTTTGGGGGTGATGGGGTATGTTGATGGGTCTGGGTCTTGTCTCCCTGGGGCTACAGTTTGGGGGTAAAGGTCTTCAGGCATATGCTCAGATCTTCCATGGGGGAGGTGGTAATAAGAGCAGGCAGACCCTGATTCCCCCTCTGTGGCTCATTTTGCCCCCCAGTCTCCGTCCACTAAGTCGCCTGCAGGCAGCATGTCACCGACTGAAGCTCTGGGCAGAGCTGCAAGACAATGGTGGAGATTATGTCTCAGCTGCTTTGGGCCCACTGACCACCCTCCTGGAGCAGGGCCTAGGGGCCCGGCTACACCTGCTGGCTCACTCTCGGCCTTCAGTCCCAGAGGTGAGGTGGAGTAGGTTGGGGGATTTGTGGGTCTGAGTGGGGCTGGACCCAGGGTACCAGGGGACACAATGGGCACACCGTCCCTTTTGCTAGACCTTTCTAGCTAGCTTGAAATAGATTTTAGCTTAAGCTGAAGTATTCTTAGTTTGAGCCCAGCCTTTTAACACACTACAGTGGGACATCAACCAAGATCCACCGAAGCACAAGGACTCTGGAACCCTGAGCCTGGCATTGCTCCTACGGTCTGAGGGACTCACCAGTGTCCTTGAGTTGGGTCCAGAGGCCGACCAGCCCAAGGTGAGGAATCCTGGCATGCTTGTTTGAAAGTGTGGGGTATACCATCCTCCATGCCACCTGGATTGAAGCCTGGGAGAGAGATTTCTTTTTTTTTTTTTTAAGACAGTCTCAAAATGTCACCCTCGGTAGAGTGCCATGGCATCACAGCTCACAGCAACCTCAAACTCTTGGGCTTAAGCGATTCTCTTGCCTCAGCATCCCAAGTAGCTGGGACTATAGGCACCTGCCACAATGCCCAGCTATTGTTTTTTTTTTTGTTGTAGTTGTTGTTTGGCAGCCCCAAGCTCCAGTGTATGTGGCCTGTGGCCTGCACCATAACCACTTGAGCTACAGGCACCAAGCCTGGGAGAGCGATTTCAAGGGAAGCCTTCTTTCCTAACCTTTCCTACCACCCCTTGCTTAGGCTGCTGACTTCCGCCACTTCTGGGGATCCCGCTCAGAGCTTCGGCGTTTCCAGGATGGAGCCATTCGGGAAGCTGTGGTCTGGGAGGCAGCCTCTATGTTCCAGAAGCGCCTTATTCCCCACCAGGTGGTCACCCACCTCTTGGCACTGTGAGTGTTAGCATCTGGAGGTCAGGAGCTCGGGAGACTTTTAAGACGGTCTGGCCCAGGCTGTCGAGGGCAAGCATAGCCCACAAAGCCCCTTGCTCTGTGTGCCTCTTCAGACATGCTGACATTCCAGATACTTGTGTCCACTATGTTGGGGGCCTCCTGGATGCGCTGATACAAGGCGTGAAAGAGGTAAGGACCTTGGGGTTAAGGCCAGCAATTGTGGGGCAGAGAGCTCTCTCCACTTAGCTAGGGTGCACTTCCTGGCATGTCCAGCAGGGGGGGGTGCTGGCTTCACTGCAGCCAGAGCCAGGCAGAATGGCTGGTGGTTCTGATTGTCTTCTCCCGCTCAGACCTCCAGCACAGGGGAGGAGGCCTTGGCAGCCACAGTGCGTTGCTATGATGATCTCAGCCGCCTGCTGTGGGGGCTGGAGGGTCTCCCACTGACAGTGTCTGCTGTTCAGGGAGCTCACCCAGTACTGCGCTATACAGAGGTGAGATGCAAGGGAGCAGGGAATCCTTTCTATTTGGTGACCCCCCCCCCCACTTCTGCTCTAGTCACCCAGTGATTCCCACTTCCAACTTCTGACTCTAGGCATCCCCTGCCAGTTCCAGGTCCCTTTTAGCCCCTTTCTTCTATAGGTATTTCCACCAACCCCAGTCCGACCAGCCTACTCCTTCTATGAGCAGCTGCGAGAGCGAGCCTCACTTTTGCCCCGGCTCAATAAACCCTGCCCTGCTTACGTGGAGCCCATGACCGGTAAGAGGGCCCTTGGGAGGGATTGGGAAGGACGGTTCCTGTTCTCAGCCACAGTGTGAGACCTTTTCTCTTCTCCCTCAGTGGTTTGTCACCTAGAGGGCAGTGGTCAGTGGCCACAGGATGCCAAGGCTGTGCAGCGAGTTCGAGCTGCCTTCCAGCTGCGCCTGGCAGAGCTGCTAATGCAACAGCATGGGCTGCAGTGCCGTGCCACTGCCACACACACTGATGTCCTCAAGGTTAGGCTGGGCAGGGCAGGTATATCTCCAGGGAAGGGGACAGTCAGGGATGTCAGGGAGTGGAAAAGGGTATACCTCTGTACACCAGGCCAGGGAACAGGAGTATAGACAGTAGAGCACCCCCAGGGTACTATCTCATACCTTTTCCAACAGGATGGATTTGTGTTCCGGATTCGTGTGGCCTATCAGCGGGAGCCCCAGATCCTGAGGGAGATGCGGAGCCCAGAGGGGATGATCTCACTCAGGGACACACCTGCCTCCCTCTGCCTTGAAAGAGATAACAGGCAGTTGCCCCTGCTCACCAGTGCTCTGCATGGGTGAGGTTGCCTGCATGCTCTTCCTGTTGATAGGCTCTTTCCTGTCCCCATTTTTCCATCCTTACTGCTTGGCTCTAGGAGGCCAGATGGTATGATTGGGCTATGGGTTCTGAAGTCAGATAGATTCTGGAATCCTGGCCCTTCCACTCACTGACAGTGACCCTTTGGCAGGTTTTCTCCGTGGACCTTACTTTTCTTATCTGTAAAATAGTGATAATGCTAGTCTCAGCCTCTTGAAGCATTTGTTAGGTGATTATATGTGTAACACATTAGTGCAGAGGCTGGCATTGGGTAAGGGTTGGATGAACAGTGGCAGTGGGCTGAGACACTGTTCCTGGCCCCAGAGTGCCTCAGTCTCATTGCCACTACCCTCCTCCCTCTAGACTCCAACAGCAGCACCCAGCCTTCTCAGGTGTGGCTCGGCTGGCCAAGCGGTGGGTGCGTGCCCAGCTTCTAGGTGAGGGGTTCACTGATGAGAGCCTGGATCTGGTGGCTGCTGCCCTTTTTCTGCACCCTGAGCCCTTCACCCCTCCCAGGTGATTGCCTCTGTTTTTTTCTTAACTAGAAAGTTCCCTAGGGGGCCTGCTTTTATGCTGAACCCTCAGTTCAAATGGGAGAGAGTGGTTGAGCAAGTGACAGAAGGGGGTCTAAGATCCCCCCCCAATCCACACCAAGGGGTCTGGGCTCCCCAGATTGCAGGAAGACCAGGGTGTGTGGCTGGGCTCCAGACCATCTGTTCACTCCTGCCCTTCAGCTCCCCCCAGGTTGGCTTCCTTCGGTTCCTTTTCCTGGTATCAACCTTTGATTGGAAGAACAATCCTCTCATTGTCAATCTCAACAATGAGCTCACTGGTAAGTGGTAGGACTGGGATCAGACTGCTGGAAGAACTATGTTGTGTGCATTGCAGAGTAGGGTAGGCAAGGGTTTTCCCTGTCAGTCTATTAGGTTTTGTCTGTGCTTCCTCCATCTGGAATCTCAGCCTAATCCTGATTACCTTGGTGTAAAGAATTGGCAGGAGGAGGAGGTCCAGGTGAAGCCTGACTATAGAGATGTGATTTGCCCACATAAAGGTTAAAGAGACGCTGTGGACTGGGGGTGGTAAGCAAGCTGCTGGGGGCGGGGGTTGTAGAAGGGAGAAAGGAGAGGAGAGAAGAAAGGGGATCCTGAACACCAGGTGAGGAGTCTTGTGGTAAGGAGCTAGGAAGTTTAGAATAGATGCCCGGACCTCTTAGGGGGTGATTTCTGGTTGTAATGTGAGGAGCTTCTGGTCTCAGCAGAGAGTAGGGTGTCAGGTTCCTAATTCCCCAGGTGTATAGGGGCCCAGGGGCAAGCCTCAGCTTGTGCAAGCCCAGAAACCAGACTGGGGGTGCCAGGCAGTGGAAAATTCTGCCTCTGCTCTGTGGTTGGGAGATTAATAACTTACCTGATTGAGGCAAATATGGTGTCCCTTCCATCACCTTTGCCACTTGGGCGTTGGGTGTTGGAAAATGCCTGAACGGCTGTTGGGGCACAGTAATAGGACCTGGGCAGTAGAGGGGTCTTTTGGGGGAGGGGCAGGCTGACCCAGGACCCCTTTTTGTCTCTAGTGGAGGAGCAGATAGAGATCCGCAGTGGCTTTCTGGTGGCTCGGGCACAACTCCCTGTCATGGTCATCTTTACTCCTCAGGATCGCAAAAGCTCGGTGTGGACGCAGGATGGACCATCCGCACAGGTTCAACCCCACACCTGCCCCCAAATGTGTGGTTTTCTTCCCTAAGGAAAAAGCAAGGCCAGCCTGAGTCAGGAGATACCTTAGTCTGAAGTATCTGTGCTCCCCAGATCCTGCAGCAGCTAGTGGTCCTGGCAGCCGAAGCCCTACCCATTCTAGAGAAACAGCTAATGGATCCCCGGGGGCCTGGAGATATCAGGGTAAGCCTCTGACCACCAGCAACTCCAGTGGCTCTGGGAATTTTGTCTTTGAACCGTGGAAGTTCAGTGTTCAAGGGTTCCTCACATGACACCTGGTCCCCTTAATCTGGTGAGACTAAATCCAGATGAGGCATTAAAGCTGCCATGGTGCCTGGTAGTGGCACAGTCTAGCACCTGGGCTCCTACTGCTGGACTTGAGTTGGCACCAGCTACTTCTTCTGTGGGTCTTGGTGTTCCCATCTTCAAATGGGCATGTAGATCTTTAATGGGTGGTCACATGTAAGGGAAGGAGGGAGCCAAGGTGGGTACATGGACAGGTTTGTCATCCAGTTCCCAATTCAGGGTGTTACTGCTGACTCCTTCCTCCTCCACTTTGTTTAGACAGTGTTCCGGCCACCCTTGGACATATATGATGTGTTGATCCACCTGTCTCCTCGTCATATACCCCGGCACCGCCAGGCTGTGGACTTGCCGCATGTCTCCTTCTGCCGTGGCCTGCTCAGTGAGCCAGGGTCCTTGTCCCTAATGCCTGTCCTGGGCTATGATCCTCCTCAGCTCTTTCTGGCACAACTCAGGGTAGGTTCTAAACAACCGAATGACCCTGGGGAGAGGATTTCCAGGTGAAGCTGGGGCCATGGAAGAAGCTCTCAGGTGTCCATCTGTAATCTTATCTCTCTTCTGTCCCTTCCTAGGAGGCCTTTGGTGATCTAGCCCTTTTCTTCTATGATCAGCACGGTGGAGAGGTGATTGGTGTTCTCTGGAAGCCTGGGAGCTTCCAGCCTCAGCCCTTCAAGGTGTGCTGGCTGGTGACAGCTATGTGTTCCTGAGTGTATACACATGGTTCCATGTGGGCATGCATGTTTTTGTATAGTCTACTCCACGAGTGACCTGGTGTTGGTGTGGAATGTGTGGGCTCCTCTGTCTGCCTCTGCTATCCCCACTCTACCTCCACCCTAGTGTCTCTGGGTGTAGCTTTGTGACACCTCAATCACATTTCTTCTCTTATTCCCCCAGGCCACCAGCACAAGGGGACACATGGTAGCATCTCAAGGTGGGGAGCTGGTGATGGTGCCCAATGTAGAAGCAATCCTGGAGGACTTTGCCGTGCTGGGTGAAGGCTTGGTGCAGGCTGTGGAAGCCCGAAGTGAGAGGTGGACTGTGTGATCCCAGCCCTGGAGCAAGAAAGATGTCAGTGGGATGGTGTCCATGCTTATTGCACATGGACCCTTCATGGAGGGCCTACTGGCTGAATACACAGTTGTCCCTAACAAAAGCCCTGCCCTAGTTTCCTGTCTAATGCTCCAGCATTGAGGCAGAGGCCTGGGCCTGGTGTCTTTTTTTTTTTTTTTTTGAGACAGAGCCTCAAGCTGTCCCCCTGGGTAGAGTGCCGTGGCATCACAGCTCACAGCAACCTCCAACTCCTGGGCTCAAGCGAGTCTCCTGCCTCAGCCTCCCAAGTAGTTGGGACCACAGGAGCCTGCACAATGCCCGGCTACTTTTTGGTTGCAGCCATCATTGTTATTTTGGCGGGCCCAGCCTGGATTCAAACCTGCCATCTTAGGTGTATGTGGCTGGCGCCTTAGTCACTTGAGCCACAGGCACCGAGCCGGGGGGCCTGGTGTCTTATGGACTCTTCTCACCTGACTGTCTGAACTCCCAGAAGAATAGAGCCAGCTTAGAGAACTGAAGCTAGGAGATCCGTCTGTCTGCCCTGGGCCAGGATCTTTCTGTGTTTTTTCCTCCCGCTTAGGCTTCTCCCACAAGCAGCTGGAGGTAGAAGCTTTGTCCCCTTCCACTGGCAGAATGTATGCCTAGATCTCATTATGCCCATCACTGTAGCATCAGGCCTTTAGATCAGACCCAGCAAAGGTGTGGCACTTCCTGAGGGTCACAGCACCAGCACCGACAGTGGAAAGGGGGCTGTGTGTATCTGAATAGACGACATTGAAGGAACACAATACACTTCTGTGTTGGTACTGTTTCCCAGGGTGGAGACAGTGGAAAAGGACAGAGGACAGGAAGCGGCTGGGTGGTCCCCTAGTCCAGGAGAGATGCAGAAAGCACTGGGTGCTGCCCCGTCCTCTCAAAGTGTCAAGAGTCCGAACAGCTCTATGCATCTGTCTTCACTGTGTCCATTTTGCCATAAACTGCTACCTCTGCACCCTTGCAATAGTGTTGCAGAGGTGAACAAGGAGCTCCAAGGACCCTGCGCAGGGGGTGGGGTATCCTGCCTCCTTTTAGTCTGGTCCACACCCCCTTCTTGGCAGCCTCTCCCTACATCTCTGCCTCCACTAATCCTGCCTGTTTTTCCAGACTCAGCTCAAATAGTGCCCCTCCTTAAGCCTATCCCTTGCCCCCAGCTTGAAGTGATCTTTCCCTCCTCTGAACTGTTAGAGTAATTATTGCCTGTTCAGTTCACTTGGCAGGCACACACAGTGGCGTGAACTGTTCTATTGTCTTCTGACTTAAAATTAAATTGCTTAATTTCCCTCATGTTCCTGGCTGTCCTTTTCCACATGGTTTTAAGCTGGTGTCCTGTATGTATGCTTCTTGAGGGCAGGGAACATGTTTGAACATATTACATATTGTCCTTCATGGCAACTAATATATTGCTGCGCTCAACAGGCACCCAGTACAAGCAGATGGAAGGCAGAGAAGGCCAACAAAATACTTTTTTTTTCTTTTTTGGGGACAAAGACTCACTTTCACCCTGGGTAGAGTGCTGTGGCCTCATAGCTCATAGCAATCTCAAACTCCTGGGCTCAAGTGATCCTCTTGCCTCAGCCTCCTAAGGAGCTGGGACTATAGGAGCCTGCCACAACCCCCAGCTATTTTTGGAGCTGGGTCTTGCGCTTGATCAGTCTGGTCTCAAACTTCTGAGCTCAAGCAGTCTATCAGCCTTGGAGTTCTAGGATTATAGGCATCAGAAAACTTTGAGGAAGGCAATCAGAATTTGTGAAATCTGCCTAGAATTAGTGGGTGGTGAAAGAGGAAGCCTAGGAGATAGTAGGTACCGGGTACTGTTGTGTGTTTTTTATAGCTTATGTATGTAAATTTGATCTTAGCCTTATGGAGTAGATACTTTGGTTAGTTGCCTTCATTTTCTGAATGAGGGTATAAGCTCAGTGTGGGGGCCCCTCATGAAGGGTCTTTGATGTCTGGCCTAGCAAGCTCCATCCTCAAGAAGGTGAGAAGACACATGTGGGAACTGTAGTCTACAGTTTTGCCTCAACTCTTGGTCTTTGTGTATCTTTGTGTGTGTGTGTGTGTGTATTTTTGTATTTTTTTTTTTTTTTTTTTTTTTTTTGAAACAGAGTCTCAAGGTGTTGCCCTGGGTAGAATTGCCTCATAGCAATCTCCAACTTGGGCTCAAGCAATACCCTTGCCTCAGTTTTTCTATTTTTAGTAGAGATGGGGTCTCACTTTTGCTCAGGCTGGCCTCAAACTCTTGAGCTCAAGCAGTCCACCCACCTTGGCCTCCCAGAGTACTAGGATTACAGGCATGAGCCACCATGCCCAGCTGGTCTTTGCGAATCTCTGCCTGTTCCTTCTGTCTTTGTCATAGGATATCTCAGCCCAGAGTTGAAATTAAAATGGAATAAAGTGGTTGGCTGTGTGAACTGGAGTCTGTATCCACCAAGTGCTATTCATTCATGAACTTCAAGCATCAGCATGCCAGGCTTTAATGTAATCCCATCCTCTAGTGCACTGTCTATAGTCCTTGACTCTATCTCTGCCTCCCCCTTTCCTTGGTCCTTTGAACTGATTATGGGTTCTGGGGAGGGCTAGGATTGCTGGCTGGTTTCAACCATTTTCTTAAACCCCCAGGTCAGTTGCAGGCTTGGCACTTCAGGTCCTTACCAACACAATTCTGGATTATTCTACGTGGTGGGGTGTGGACAGAGGGTGGTATCTGCTCCTTGGCCCAACTACAGCAGTTACTAGTCCAATTGAGAATGGGCTCTGGCTTTGCTCCCCATGGGATCTTGGGCAATTCACGTTCCCTGGCTGGGTTTAGTCTCCCCACTTTACAATGGCCATAGTAATGCCTTCATCATTGCCCCATCTGGCAAGAGAAGAGGGTTGAGAACTCAAACCTAAGGAACTGCACCATTCTTGTAATCTAGCTTAATTGGGGGTGGGAGGGGAGGAAGCCCAGGCTTTAATTTCAGTCCTGGCTTGGCGCCTGTGGCTCAAGTGGCTAAGGCGCCAGCCACGTACACCTAAGGTAGTGGGTTTGAATCCAGCCCAGGCCTGCCAAAACAACAATGACGGCTGCAACCAAAAAATAGCCAGGTATTATGGTGGGCGCCTGTGGTCCCAGCTACTTGGGAGGCAGAGGCAGGAGACTCGCTTGAGCCCAGGAGTTGGAGGTTGCTATGAGCTGTGATGCCACTGCACTCTATCCAGGGGAATAGCTTGAGGCTCTGTCTCAAAAAAATTTTTTTTCAGTCCTTAAGCCCCAACATATTTTCCTCAAATTTTCTCTGGGAAGCAGGTGAGCAAGATGACTACCCAGGGCTCCTTTGCGCCAGTTCATCACTGCTGGGGCTCCAGAGTAGGAGGTGCTCAGGCTCTAGCCAGAGAGGAGGAATTGGGGATGGGTGTTGTGAGCTGGAACATCAGGGGAAGGGAAGAACAGCCTAGCAGGAATCCTTATGTGTGAGCAAGTGTGCACTGGATGATGCAGGTGTGCCTGCCCCTGTGGGCTCTGCATTTTGCTTTGCAGGTAGATAGAGGTAAGTGGGAGACTATCTGATGTGTGGCATGATTTGCCTGTTCTCTGTGTTGAGTACACACACATCAGTAGGCACTAGTCTTTGTGTGTGTAGGTATTCACCTCCGACTCTGGTTTGCTTCAAATGAGGAAATTTGCTCTGTTTTTGAACAGGTCAGAAAAAGCTCTCAAGTAGGAGGCAGGAATCTTGGATTTCTTCCTGTGGCTTTAAATAAAGATTTCCCTTTCAATTCAGTAGGTCTTTTGTTAAAATGAAATAAAATAAATTTTCCCTTGGGGTTTCAGTTTCCCTGGATCTGACTGACATAAGCCTCTCTACATTTCATTTAGTAAACTCTCAAAGGATCCTCCTTTCTGGCTGTGGTATCTGACCTAATCCAGAGGACTATTTTCTTCTTCCTAGCTCCTTTGGGGAAAAAGAATAAGACCCCAAAGCACCAGGCTACATTCAGTGAAGTCCTGAGGGCTGCTTTGTTCCTGACCTTTAAAGTCAGATTTGGGCTTGCCACCCCCCTCCCCCAAAATATACGTCTAACACATCCGGTACTTGCTTTGTGAGTCACAGATTAATCCAGGAGAGTGGTAAGGAGGGGAGGCCTGGGGCACCTGAGTCACCCCTCCCCTCCACAGGAAAGGCCAGTTTGCCCATCCTTCACCTGCTCCCCACCAGAAGGAGGAGGAGGCATCTCAGACTATTCCAGGGGACCATGAAAAGGGGTGTTTCAGACTCAGGCTTCCTTTCCCATCTCAGCTTCTGGGAAATGGGTGGAGAGGATAGTTTTTCTGGTTGATATGAGGCCCATAGAGGTGTAGGAACTGTCTGGGCTCAGATAGGGTATTGGGGAGTAGAGCTACAGAGGGCCTAGGTGTCCTAGCTGGAAACAAACTGCCTGCTGCCAAGCCTGGCTTTTGAGGCTAAAGGGTGGGGCATGGACAAATAAAGTAGAGAGGCCTGAGCTGCAGATCTTTGCCATGGGACAGGGGAGGAGGGAGAGGCCTGGCCTTTTCTGTTTTGGACTGCCTGCTAATCTCCTTTCCTTCTGCCCAAATCATTGACTACAACTGTTTTAGCAGCCTAGAAAGGTAGGGTCAAGGCCAGGAGTAGGATGGATAATGAGCACTCTGGTTCACCTCAGCCCAAGCCTGAGTTTCCTCTGCTCCTTGGCCTGGGAGCTCCTCAAAAGCAGTGTTCAGCTCTCCTCTATTCTCCCAGACAGGAAGCCTGTATAGGACAGGACTTGGGTCCTATGAAGACTGCAGCGGGGCAGGGCCTGTGGTTCAGTGGGTAGGGCACCAGCCCCATATACTGAGGGTGGTGGGTTCAAACCCAACCCCGCCTGAACAAGCCGGACATTGTGGTAGGCGCCTGTAGTTCCAGCTACTCGGGAGGCTAAGGCAAGAGAATCAGCTAAGCCCAGGAGTTGGAGGTTGCTGTGAGCAGTGTGATGCCACTGTACTCTACTGAGGGCGATAAAGTGTGACTCTCTCTTAAAAAAAAAAAAAAAAAAAAAAAAAAAGGACTGCAGTGGCCCAAATTAGGGAGTCCCAGCCCCTGTTCATTTGATGACCAGCAGTTTGCATGAAAAAGGCATCCTGGCCTTTTCCTCAGTCTTCCTCCACAAAGCCCACCCTAATCTCCCATCC